AATAAGTCCGAGTAGACATTTTAAATACTACACTATAAGATAAGGACACAGAGGCATATGATTTAACTTGATGTATATATTTGTAAATGCATTTATTCAGATAAGGAATCGTTATTGTGAAGTTTCTTATAGTATTTTGGCATAGCATGTTGATATGAACAAACAGAAATGATGCAAATTAGAATTTGAAAAATGTTATCTGTGTAAATCTCTTTCATAAACAAGCAAGGAAAGCAAAACATCTTGGTGACATTGACCTCTCAAAGGCACTTGACATTTGCTAAAATACCGACAAAGACATTTCCTGGTGTCAGAATATCAATTATAGAATGAAAAGTTCCAAATAAATAAATGTATTAAAAATAAAGTCTATTATTATTATTTTTAATAAGTTTACTTCCTGATATTAATTTATAATTAGATTGTTGCATAAAGCAATGTAATCTGTAGGCCTTTTTTGACTGGATGCTCTGCCTGATAGTTAATCTGAGTATGCCTGTTTTGTTTCCTAAAACGTATTCAAAGTGTACATAAATGACAATTAGTGTAGAAATTTATCAAATCCAAAGAAACAGAACATTATATGTTCATTTAAGTTGCAAATGTGTAATGTGGTTAAATTTTCTTTTAATTATTCAAATAAAAAAAAATAAACTTGAATGACATAAAATTGAATTAAAATATAACATTATAAATATTATGTAATGTAATAAAGTGACCACAAAGAGTAATAAAAACTATATGTATTTCCTTCAGAATTATCACAAGGTTGCCATTGAGAACAAATCACACAGGAACACTTTGAATGGGAAAAGCAGGTTTATTGACACAAAAGGATATGCATTTGCCCTTCTTCAGTCTTAAGATTATTACAGTGACTGCTGGAATAACCAAATTTCTATGACGCCTGAAATGCATCTCTTTTATGTCAATAAACCTGCTTGTTCTCAACAACAACCTTGTGCTAATTCCGAAGGAAATATATGTAATTGGGAGAACAGCAAGCAACTAAGTTCTAGTAAAAACTAATAATTAATATAATTCTCATTACTATGTTTTTGGTTATTTGATAAAAAGTAATACAAAAATTGTAATGTTGATTTATTAATAATTTTCTTTATAAAATATGATTTAATTTCTGTGCATTAAATGAATGTACAAAAATTATTTTAGAATAATATTTTGAATTATGGTATGTTTGTCACTATTTATGATGCTCTTTATGTCATCTTTATCAACCAAAAATAACACATTGTGTTTTAAACTGAATTTTGAGCTATTGCAGAAAAATGTACACTGACAAAATGAACAGCATTGCATTGGCAAACTCAACAACTTAAGGGTTGTTTATTTGGTTGTGATTGTGTACACTTGTGTCAATTTGACATCATTTTTTGAACTTGTTCATTGTAAAACTAAAGATGTGACATCAAACTGACATTAACGTGTACACTTCTTACACAAAACAAATAGGGCTTATTGACATGTCAAAGTAATGATTCTTATAAATTGTTAAGCTTGTTCCCACCTGTGAGAAAAATAATGCAGAAACAAAACTCACAAATACTTTCCATCTTTATATTTATGATTCCTAATTTTCTGTGCATCTTTTTCAAAATTAAATATTGATGGATGAAAAAGTTTCTCATATAGCAGCCCATCTATTCTTGTAAGAAATCAATATTTCATTCTGTTATGTCTGTCATACTGATCTAAAGACATCACAATATTCCTCATTTCTTGTAAGCACAGAAAGGATCCAGAAAATTAAATTTTAAAATAGTTTAAATTCTGTTGTCACAAGCAGAAACAGGATGTTCATAGCTTACAGGAAATGAGGAATATTATGATATCTTTTGATCAGTATAGCAGACATAACAAAATGAAATGTTGATTGCTTACAAGGAAGAATAAATCGGCTGCTATATGAGAATCTTTTTGATTCATCCATATTTAATTTTCCAGAAGATGCACAGAAAGTTAGGAATCATAAATCATCATGCATGATACAATTATTAAATGTTAATTGTCCATTACAGTATTAAATTTAACATACTATATATAATAATGATATATGCTCAGTAAAGTGACTTTTATATATATCTGGATAAACAAACCAATGATATAGTCAGTTTCAAATGAAACAGGTTATATCATTGGTTTTCTGGCTAAAGATTTGAAAAATTTTTAAAATATATATTAAATTTTTGTCAGATTGGCAAATTAGATAGAAAAGATTTAGATAAATTTAAGCGTAGCTATTTAGAATAAGAACTGAATTTTAATAAAATGTATATTGTAATTTATGTAGCATTAATTAAAATGTGTCATGGTATGGATTTTAGGAAAAGTTATCATTATAGAAAATATGCTTAAAGGAAACTATAAGTATAATCTAAATATTGTTTTTTTAAAATAATTTTTGTATTTAGAGTAGAGTTTAATTTGATAATACAAATTTTTAATAGAGTTTTTGGTATTTAAATAATTCATTTATATTTAATCTTTCTAACACATTGTTTGACGTCTATTGAGATTGTAAAATTTTGTTTGTTTTTCTTATACCATTGCTGTTTTTATTCTGGAAATTATAGTGAAATAATGAATCTAGATAAAAAAGAAAAAATTACATCACAATATTAGTTCTATGGACATTATGCACTATTCTCTAATAAGTTTTTTCAACCATATATTTCTATGCTGTGAGTAATACTGTGGCATTGTTATAGTTTAAACATCTGTCCAAAAGATTACTTCTATAAATTTCAACTTTTTCTAAATTCATTGCTAATGTTGGTGAGTATTACCCACAGCATGGAAATATATGGCTGAAAAACTTATTAGAGAATAATGCATAATGTTTATACAATTGAAAACTGATATTATGAATGTAATTTTTTTTATCTATTATATTACTTTATTTTAAATTGTATGTATATTACTGTAATTTATTTTTTGGATTCAAATAGTCCAATATTCCAAAGAATTTTGTATTTTAAATGTGTTCTTAACCATTCTATATAAAAAGAACAGTTATCAATGTTCCATGATTTTTAAAATCTAAAGTTGGCCTGTAGAACATGTTGAAAATGTTTGTAATAAATAATTCCCAGTGGGATAAGGTATTGTTGTGGAAGTTAAGAAGCATCTAGCTGGGTATTCATTAAGAATCTGTATAATATATTATTACTCATCAAAAATATGCTGAATCAAAAAGTTTGCAATCACTGATTTCAGAAACAATACATCTATTTTAATTAATGTTTAAGAGTAGTCTTGTGATTTACTCCAATAACATTCAATAACAATAGATAAAATAATCTTTTTGTTTGTGGAAGCATTACTTTTTAATATAAAGAACAGGAAAAATAGGTAAATCATATGATTTTTAGAAAATCTAATTGAGGTTTGAATGTCAGATTTGTTTAGTTTTGTTGTTAATGTTTGACCTAGAAATTTTTTTCTTTTGTTTGTTTTTAAATTAAGGAAGAATTCATGAAAATTATTATTCTTGATGTAATTAAAAATAATTGATAGCAATATACAATTTAAAAGGAGGATATTAAAAGTAGTAATATTATTTTATTTACTATTAATTATATTACAAGAATGATATATACATTTATATAAAACATTACAATTTAATAGTTTTTTCTTCCATTCTGATTTGGATTTTCAGGATAACTTAGCATAAAAACACTTTTCAAAAAATGATTTTCTTTGTTAAAAGTGTATCAATTTAATTTTCAACTTTTCTCATTAACAGCATTTAAAATTTGAGACTATAGTCAATTAAATAAGTGAGGAAGACCAAGCAAAATTTAGCACTGTATTAGGTATTGTACATTCAAAAATAATCTCCAAAACATTAATATTAAATGGAAAGATGCAAATTCCATTGTAAAAGACTACAGGAAGTGGCAAACTCTTGCTGCCAAATTGTAGTCAGACCTAAAACCTTCAGTATTAAAGTTGTATAATTTTTATTACATTTTTTATAAATCTCAATGTTAGAAATCTGTTAAATATTGTCTTAGACAAATTAATGTTCTACATTCATTGAGTTTCAGTGTAATTTGAGTTTATTAATTTAATATTTGAATGTTGATTATTATTTATTTACTATGTTGCTGCAATTGGACAACTACTTGTTCATTTTAATCATATAAATGAGTCATTAATCAAACCATAAATATTACTAAACTTATGGCTATTTGAAATATAAAGTCAGTACAAATTCTGCTCTAGGCCATTCTTGTCTTCCATATATTCTAAATTAATTAATTTATTATCTCATATCAGTTTTAATGAATAAAATAATCTCTTGTATCAAATACTTAACAATCTTTAAAAAAAATCAGAATTATAGCTGAAGAAAGCCCATATTATTTGATCATGACTTTTTATTAACTCTCTTTGCCTTGTGGGCACTAATATCACTTTTTTCATGCCCATCATGGGTTTAACTGGACTTATGATGGAAATGACAAATCGCAAAGACTATAACTCAATTTATCTGAACAGATTGCTCATGAAAAATATCTGAGGCTCTTGACCCAGACTCAAACTGGATATGGAGGCCTCAGTCATCCAGCTATCAGGCCATGGAGTTGGATTGATAGAAATGTACTGTACATATATTATTTTTTTGTATAAAAGAATTGTTTACAAGAAAGAGTGCCTGGTACACTTGTGTACATGTTTACAATTAGACTGAAAAGTAAAGGATTAAGCAAAGCAATAAAGTAATAAATCAGTACAGTGCAAAAGAAAGAAAGGATGAGAGAGAATAAATGAATGAATGTTTGAAATAGAATAATTTTTTGTAAAATTAAATCATTTTACTCAGTTTTTCTCCAATTTTTGAGATTTACATTTTACGTACCTGCAAATTTATGTAAGTTGCATGTTACATAACTTGGGATATTACTGTATTTACATAATATGTAAAGTTATTAGTTTCAGATTTTATTGTTTTATATATAATGTATATGTTTTAGGTATGGCAGGAATGTGTGCAAAAACAGCAGTAGCACCTTTAGACAGAATTAAAATCCTGCTTCAGGCACATAACAATCATTACAAACATTTTGGTAAGTAAATGACATAATGACAGTTTAAATCATATTGGAATTTTATTTATTTGCATAATTTTCAGGTGTTTTTTCTGGTTTGAAAAACATTGTAAAAAAAGAAGGGCTATTGGGACTCTACAAAGGAAATGGAGCACAGATGGTTCGCATATTTCCATATGGAGCAGTGCAATTTCTTTCTTTTGAAATCTATAAAAAGGCAAGTTCTTACAAAAATTTTATTTATTAAATTTTATTGACAGTTGTAATTTTAAAAATTGATTTTTAATCTGGTTTGTTTATTGATGCATTTTCTGTTCAGCACATACTTAAAAACGTGCAAAAAATACAAGTATTTAGAAGATTTTGATTTAATAACTTTGATATCACGTTGATTAATTTCTTAGCCATAGTCCATTTATGTCAGTCATGAACCTACAGGTTACATGTGCTCATGAGGTTCCTTAGGTCCCTGAGATTTTGACAATGTAATTTTTTTTTTCATATTTTTTGCCTTGGGCCATTATGCTACCATAATTAAGTGATATTTAAGAAAACACAGTGAATAGAAAATAGAAATCTGATAGATCAAAAGAAAATATCTCCAGTTTGTTAATGTACAATTCTTATTGTGTACAGATTGAAATGTCCAATTAATTAATTAATAGTTGACGACAAATTTATCTAGCATCTTAAAATTACTCTAAATTAAATTAAATTATGAATTTTTCAAAAATCTATTATTTTTACTTTATTTCCATTTTTCTGAGAATTTATTTCATCTTTTAATAGAATTTGCTTTTTATTATTATTATTTTCTAATGTATTGTCAGGTTGTCCATCATTTTTACTATGAAATAAATATTTTATAGTATAGATTTTTTCCACTTTTCCAAAATGGTAATTGCAGTGTAAAAGCAAAACATTTGGAGTAAACAAGTATGTTGTAATCTCTTGGCAAATTTACCTTTAATTTTGAAAGACATTCAATGTATCCTAAAAATTATGTTATTTAAATAAAAGTCAAACAAGAATAACTCATTATTTTTATATAATCTACAAAGCTATAAATTGCAGATTACAGTAGACCCCCTATAACGTGGTAGATACGTTCCACTTTATAAGAATTTCACGTTGTAGGAATCCTTAAATACATGAGCCAATCGCAGCCCGACACGTGTGAAGTTTACGGACTACGGCTGTTTGAAAGGTTTTCTTTCGTAAAATTAATCGATTCTAGACTAATTCGACTCAACATTTCCAAAATATGTATATAATTTTTTGGGAATAATCAGTATAAACTATGCTATGAACAAAAAATTGTAGGATTACTTACCGAGTGTGCACCGTTCAACGTCGCCATTGCTTAAGCTTGTTTTCGTCGCGGAGCAGTGCATCAAACAGCAGCCACGATTTCTGATAAGTTATTTTTCTGCAAAAAATTCGTTGACCTTTGGAGACATCATTAATATAAATAATTTTTATGGCTGTTGAATAAGAAAAGTTTCTTTCACAAGAAATGTATAAAATTACAGTACTGTATTAGACTTATGGTACCTAATTTACATACTGTACAGACAATAGTAAACTCAACTTACTTGCCTAAACTCTCCGTAGCATGGCGCTGGACGGCGGAAAGTATATATATAATTATAATAAAGTTAAAATTAATTAAGTTAATATATAATTATATATACAGTACCTAATTTATATATAATACTGTACAGACAATAGTAAACTCAACTTACTCGCCTAAACTCTCTGTAGCGTGTAAGTAGTTCGGCTGCTCGTCTACTATTGGTCCAGATTCGACCAATCCTGTCGCGACACGAGTTGGCGACGACGTTTTACGAGTCCTTTTTAGCGTCTTTATACGAATACTGTCACAATTTTTTCGCCACGTTACAGGAATCTCCGTTATAGGAACCCGCGTTATAGGGGGGTCTACTGTACTTTGTCATTAGATTCTTCTAAAAGTAAACAAATTTATGGTTTCTAAAAATAATACACCAGAAACTTGCTTACTGGTAATATCTTAATAACTTTATTATTTAAGTTAATTTAAATGTGAATATTATTATTTTTTTATGAATTTATTAAATGGACAATCCATTGAAAAAATATTTTTCTGATTATTTCACATTATTATATAACTATGTAGTAAGGTTAAAATGAAACTTATAATGGAACAAAAAATCAAATACAAAAAAAGAAAATGCTGAAATACTTTTAAACTTAACTACTCATCATTAGAAATTCTGAAGACTGGTGTACATGAATAGCAAAATTAAGATAACAATCAGTGACAATGATTGATTTCACCAATTATTTCCTCTGACAGTCAGTCATCAGAGATGATTGGTTGAGTCTGTTATTATTGCTTATTGTCTTAATTTTACCACTCATGCATTGAATTTAAAAGAACATTCTGCTCTCATAGCAGCAAAATGTTGTTTTAAAACAAAAACCAACCATTATTATAATGGTGGTGGGTGATGTCAATATTACATTAATGGAACAATTTAGAAATAGTTTAAAATTGAAAATTTGAAAAGTACATAAATAAATAAATAAAATGTTGTAATTTGTTTAATACACATAGCAAATCAATAAACTTGTAAGCCAGGACGACATCAGATTAAACTCAAAAGTATTTGAACATTTTTCTTGTTTTTTGTTTGATATTTTGCTCCATTAAAAGTAGCTTTAATCTTATTAGTATGTAAATCTTGTAATCATAAAAAATGAATTTTTCATAATTATATTTGCATTTTGACATAAATTGGATTGTTTATTTGCAATTTATATACATAATTTTATACAATTTTAAAAAAGATTGATGGATGACAATAAATTAAAATAACAAGACATTGTAATATTTAAAAATTTGAACTTATTTATATACAGGGTGGTCTAAAAGGTTACCTACCAGATTGCTGTATTATAACTGAATGATATGCAAATCTTGCTCAAATATAACTTGAATCAGCACCTGAAATCATTTTTATAATGTGTTTAATATGTTTGCTATCAACTTCAATGATTTTTGCATTATAGAAAGCACCATAGGGAGGGTATTGACTGATCTGCATATTCTCAGCATTGAATTCATGACTTTTTTTCATGGAGACATCTCAAGAACAGCATATTCCATATTGAACCAGAAATTTTGGAGAAGCTTGAGAGATTATGAAATCTTTGCTCTTCTAAGAGATGTTCTTCTGAAGTAAGATGTTAAGCTTTTAGATAAGATCAGGATTGAAGTTGAAGGCAAACATTATTGAAGATACAAATGGCTTCAAATGCCTAATTGAATGATATCTGAGTAAGATTTATATATTTCATTATCCAGTTGTAATAAAGCATTAATGTGGTTGGTATCTTTTGGACTAGTCTATATATACTGTATATAAATTTCAAATGAATAATTATTATTAAAAATTTTAAAATGCCATCTGTAATTGAACAATTTGTAAAAATTTATTTTTTTCAGTTATCTACTCAAAGCAGACAGATAAATTGCACACATATTTACTGTTTTTGAAATGATTCAGTTATATGTTTACATCTTATCCATGTAATCTTTAAATTTTTAATCATCATTCTTCATAATTAAATTTATGGAGAAAGTTGATCATTTTTTCATTGTCCACCCCGAAAATGGATAATGGCTTTGAAATTTTGTGTATATTGTACAAATGTATGTGTATTTATTCAGACATTAAAGAACCATATTGGAAAAAAATCTCATTTAAGCAAATTTGTTGCTGGATCTATGGCAGGTGAGTTAAAGCTATTTAAAAATATTGTCTGCATTATGGTTTTTTTTAATATACAAAATGAATTAAGTTAAATTTTTATTCATCTTTGACTAAACTTTACGTACTTTTTTAAACTCGAACATATATATATATTTTTTTTAATTTAGATAAAAATTTAACATAAATACTTGTTATTTTCTAACAAGTAAATTAATTTTTTTAATTTACAAGTGTTATTCGTCCTGTTGCAGGTGTTACTGCAGTAATTTGTACATATCCATTGGACATGGTCCGTGCAAGACTGGCATTTCAAGTCACTGGAGAGCATATCTATTCTGGAATTTTGCACACATTAGTTTGCATTTTTAAAACTGTAAGTGATTAAATTAATTTGAATGTAAATTTAGTAAATTTTGATTGTTTAGAATAAAAAAATTCTTAAATATTTTTCTAAACAATCATATTTCAAATCTTTAAAAAATCAAAAACTTTTTATTTAAATGTTTTTAGAACAAACATTTTAAATTTGGAATTTAGAATGTTTGTGTTGTTAATGAGTGATGTTTTTCTGGAAAATGCTTCAATTAATATTTCTTATTTGAAGACTGTTTGAAAATTGTTCTCATTTAATCTTCAGTGAACATTTTATCAACCAAAATCAGTAGCAAGTTGATTTATAATATTAATTCAAATACCTAATCACCAAATTTATCAGACTGTATTTAGACTGATATAGGATATTGAGAAATTAATTTTTGAGAATTTTTTAATAGCATATTAAGAAATTTAATATAAGCGTACATGATTTTTTTTCATTGGCCTCTCAGTTAATTAGAAACTCAATAATTATTTTTATAGTATGATATATTTTTTGGAATTATCATAATTATAGTTATTCTATAAATATCTTATTTTAAATTGTCTACCAAATAAAAAAAATTTACAAGTTTTTTTTTCTTAACAAAATACGATAGCATTTAATAAGTGAAAATATGTCTATGATATTTAAACAAAGTTTAATTACTTTTAGGAAGGAGGAATACGTGCACTCTATAAAGGCTTGTCGCCTACTGTAATTGGAATGATACCTTATGCAGGTTGGTCTTTGTTTGAAGTATTTTAAATTTTAATATGATGAACTTTGCTGAATCTAAACTTAGTACAGTAGAGTGTCATTTATTTGAAAGCCGCTCAACTGAAACGTTGGTTATCTGAAAGCGTTCTAGTCGGCAAATTTAAATTTCCGCTAGTGCTGTGGTGTTGCAACCTTTGGCTATGTCTTGGGCTACTCCAATATTTTTTTTGTTGGTGTGTGTGTTTTAGCTGGCAGCACTGGCATTTTTGTGCAGTTTTTGATACTAGATTAACTTCTAAAGTATAATTTTTTTTTTTAGTTTTTATATTTTTCAATATATTTATTTTGTTTGTACAAAATAAAGAAATAATTTTTAGTGATACAATAGCCACAATTATTATTATAAAAATTTTTGTTAGGCTTAAGATCAACGAAAATTCAACGCGAAGTGACATGCAACGGAGAAAAATTTCACCGTGGAATAGGTTAATATATTTTTTTGTACATAATCAGTTATCCGAAAAATAAGATATACGAACAAATCCAGTCCCCAATTGATTCAGATAAACGATGCTCTACTGTACATCATTTTAGAAATTAAAATTGAAACACAATGAAAAAGGTTAATAATTCAAAATTAAAATTAACATAGAATGACTCCGCAGACAAGATTATATATATTATATAAAATCCTATCTGGAGAGTCATTTTATGTTGATTTTAATATATATTTTATAGATATAGGGTGTATCAGAATGACGTTTTAAAAATTTGGGGGATTGTGGAAGATGAAATTTTGAACGTTTTGATAGGAACCTATAGCCGGAAATTTGAACAAAAGTGCCTACAGAGGTAGGAAGTGCTTGCCCACCCTTCACTTTGGTAGCTACCCTTCTGTCCATTGACGTCATGTTATTGCTGCGGATGGAAGACTGTAAACACACAACTACAGTGATCTAACTGAGCCTGTGTATAGGACGTTGTGTACTTACGTTGTTAGTGCTTGTCATCCTTCAGGTCACCATCAGAGGGGAGTGTGGCATCTTACAGAGAGTCAGACAAAACATGGTTCATTGTTGCACATTATGTAACAAAGTTGGTGGTTGTCACATTGAACATTTACTCTAAAGTAGTGCAGCCACTGATTTGATGTACAGTTTGATTGCCCTCTACTGTTTTGTCAATAAAACTTGTCATAAATACTGTATTCTGCTGTTTCATTCAGCATACCAACCACATAGAATGTGCAAAGTGCTGTAGACACTTTAGTTCAAATTTCTGGCTATAGGTTCCTTACATCAAAACGTTCAAAATTTTATCCTCTACAATCCCCCAAATTTTTAAAACGTCATTCTGATACACCCTGTATATAATATTTTATATTATATAATACATAAATATATATAAATACATAGAATATTATATTAGTAGATAATACATTAATACCTAATCTATATATACAGTCGACCCCCCTATAAGATCATAGATACGTTCCATTCTTTAGGAATCCGATTTCTTACGAGTCCTTCCAATCACAGCTCGACACGTGTGAAGTCTACGGACTACGGCTGATTGAAAGGTTTTCTTCCATAAAATTAATCGATTCTAGACTAATCCGACTCAACATTTTCAAAATACGTATATATTTTTTGGAAATAATCCGTATAAACTACGCTATAAACAAAAAATTGTAGGATTACTTACCGAGTGTGCACCATTCAACATCGCCATTGCTAAAGCTTGCTTTCGTCGCGGAACAGCTCAGCAAATAGCGGCCGATTTCTAACAACTTATTTTTCTGCAAAAACTTTGTTGAACTTTGGAGACATCATTAATATAAATAATTTTAATCGCCATTGAATAAGAAATGTTTCTTTCACAAGAAATGTATAAAATTACAGTACTGTATTAGACTTACGGTAC